ATTCTTTATGGGATCGTGCTGCGCTACAGCGCTACATCCTATGCGCCGGCCAACACCCAGCAGGAGGCCTGCGCGATAAACCTCCAAAGTAACTGGGTTATGGAATTATCTATATAATATTTTGTTGATGATATTTACAGGGCCGCGGATTCATACCATACATTATATTGTCTAGCGGGACTATCCGCGGCTCAGCATAATGTTTTCCTGTCATCTACTCGACAGGATGCCATTGTTCACGGTTGGAGGACCCCGGCTGGTAGGTCGCAAGCTTTGATCGGAAAGCTAATGGCTCATCCGAATCAGGGTCCAAGCACGAGCAACTTCGTCAAGCGTGCTTCTCACACTCTCTATCATGGACAGAGGAGGAGGGCACATCTCGTGTGCTTGGAGCGCAAAATAACCGGATGGTGATTTTCTGTGCCAATTTCGAGTGCCGAGTGACTTATGGAGGTTTTATGCAGAATGCGACACATCCGGTATTCAATCTAACGATGACACACACGGAGGGTATGATGGCGCATTTCTACAAACAAACGATTCCTTCACGGCCCAAGAAAACTTGAATGGCAGGTCAACACAGGATCGTGTGGCGCAGGGTATCATGTGGTGTAAGATATCATCAAGGAACGAGTCATATACGATCTGTATAAAGTTAAAACAACGAATGACAAAACTGCAAAGCTCTGCCGATGCTCCACCAACAATATACTTGGAAGTAGGAGGACACGCGCCACGGATCATTCTCGAAATACATGCATCATTACTGATGTTTTTCCGTCCATGCTGGGGCACATTCCCGCAGCACATTCACATTGGGACCACAAGGCGTGAGGTGATAGGTTGTGGCATATAAAGAAGGAACATGGATAGCGACTCAGTCATCAACGAGTCATTCCTTGAAGTTCGATCGGACTGTGTAACGAGTGATGTACAGGTGGAGGGGATAAGGTACCCCGATAACGCGTCATACAAGGCTCCCAGCTGTGAGTTGAATTTGCAAAACTTTTGATTAAACTCTAAATCTATCTTAAGCTGTCACTGTGAATATTGTAACGCCAGAATTATCCGCTGACTAATATACAACTCAGGTAAGTCGCTGGTGGCTGCCGTTGTCCAAACCTCTTTCAAGACAGTCGTCTTTTCAATAATTAATCCCTTATCTTTTGCAAATATTTTTCAAAGTCCGTAATAGATGACCGCAGATTTGTAATTGTGATGATTGCTCGGCTTCACTCCCGCACTTGTACATGTCCTCACGAATCTGCCTACGGATACTAGGCACCACCCCGATGGAACAGCAAACAGCCTCTTTCATCATCAATGTTCACATAACAACTGTATTTGGTCTCGGACCTTCATCACCTTCAAAGCTTCAAATATGGACATTATCTCCCTCAACCGGCGCACAAATGTCCACTTGGGAGATTGAGCGCACGTGTTATCCATTCTTAGCGATTCGCACAGATGAGAACTTGTGGGTGCTATCCCTACTTAGGTCATTCCGCTGGCAGTTAACGTTGATCCACCCCAGGCTATGCAGGCTTCCGTTGTGTCCCAGGAACCAGCCACACAACTCTGTGATTCAAGTACCGGCTCATCTCCCGGAATTTCCATTCTTCCATGATGAGGCGTGTGTAACAGTAAGTAATGACACCGCATACTGACATCAAGCACATGTAGTAGTACCCACAGTATAGGTAAATAAAGCCTACCGCATCAAACCGCGAACTCTGATTCCCCATTCCTCGCTCCCACCACAATGGCATTTACTATCGAAGCCAGCGTGGATCCTCAAGTTTATGTCTCAGAGAAGGAAGAGCGGAATGCGTATGTTCCTGAGAACTACCATATCCCTGATGGCACTACCCCCAATCTCGAGACATACATGTACTATGCCAAGATTCAACGTGATAAGGAGGCCCTATCTGCAAAGAATGATACTGAAAGTGGCCTTTGGGGTGGCCTGTTCTCGAGAAAATTCAAACGTTCTCAGGAATCTGACAAGCGTTCAGTTGCATCAGCCAACTCGGATGGGAAGAACGTAGCTCCTCCCTCAGACGAGGGGGGCGCCGCTCAAGTCACCGCAGGCGAGTACCGTGCTGCTTCTGGGGCTCTTAGAACGGCCACATGGGGAAGCGTGTTCTATCTAATTACAACTGGTGAGCTAATCGTCAATTTTAATGGGTTCTATCTATGACATCCTTCGCAAGACATTTTGGGTCCTTACTCTACCCCGTGGGCATTCCAACAAGTTGGATATGGTCCTGGTGTAGCTTGTTTCTTCGTCTTCGGCATTTTGGCTGCATACGGTGGCTTGATCCTATGGAGGCTCTTCTTGAAACTGGACTCGGAAAGGTATCCCGTCAAGTCTTTCGGAGAATTAGGGCAACGCATCTATGGCCGTTGGTTCGGGAATCGTACGTAAACACTCTCAATGATTGATGTAGAAAATCGATTGATCACGTGCATCTACAGTCTGTAACATCTTGCAAAGTTTGCAGCTCGTGTTCAATGTTGGGATCATTATTCTTCAAAATGGCCAAGGTCTTTCGCAAATGGCACATTTTAGGGTAACCTTGTCATGTTTTGGCGCATATTGTCATCTAACTTGCCCTTCTATAGCTATGCTTCAGCGTCTGCAACGTCGTCTGGACCCTGGCTGGAATGTTTCTTGGTCAAATTCGGACTCTTCAGAAGTTTGGCTCGATCGCCAATCTCGCTATCTGGCTGAATATCACTGTCTTGATTATGACGATGGCCTTTGCGGCTAACTCACCACCTAACTATACTGCATCCACCCTCCCCGCTGGCCCTGTGATCACTCAGGCTATCAACGTACAGGCTTTCGAGAACCAGCTCAATGGTATCATGCAGATTGTGTTCTCATACGGTGGAGCGTAAGTCGTCATGACTCATAAAAACATTCATGTGCAGATGAACAAATTCTTTTAGCATGATTTTTGTGGAGTTTATGGCTGAAATGCGGCGCCCAATGGATTTCTGGAAGGCTATGGCGTATTCCCAGATCTTTATCTTCATTGTATACATGTTCTTCGGTCTCTTCGTTTATTCATACCAAGGCCAATTTGTTGTTAACGTCCGTCGTTTCTCTCTTAACTTGAAATCCTACTGACGATGCTCTTGCAGCCGGCTAATCAGGGAATTTCGACTTATGGTCTACAGACTGCGGGGAACGCCATTTCTTTGACCGCTGGTATCATTGCCGCCGCATTATATGGCAATATTGGTGTCAAAATCATCTACAACAACATCTTCGTGGCGATGTTTGATTTCCCAAAGTTGACTGTGACTCGGGGTAAATACTACTTCGCCATCTTTGTCATAGTGTATTGGGCCATTGCCTTCGTTATTGCATCCGCCATCCCGCAATTCAGCGCCCTCTCGTCGCTGGTTGCTGCCGTTTGCATCTTCCGTGAGTATTCATTTTTTTTCTGGTAGCTCTCATAACGACTTAAATCACCCTTCAGAGTTTACATATACCTTCCCGCCATTTATGATCATGGGTTACTTCTTGCAAGTAGATGCCGCAAAAGACGACGGGGAATTTGACATCAACAACCCCTACGCCCACCGTATTGACTCATGGACAGATATCTCGCGTTGGCAACGTGCAGGTACGTACTATCTTCTGCAGAGTTCCCTTGCGCCGAATCTAACCCTTGCGCCAGCCTTCTATAACACTTGGCACTTCTTCTTTGCCGTGTGGAACTTCCTTCTCACACTCGCATGCCTGGCTTGCGCTATTCTGAGCGCGTACTCGGCCGTCAACACGATCGTGACCGCGTTTCAAAGTTCGAGTTCTGCGGCGTTTAGCTGCCACTCGCCACTGGATGTCAGCGGTTAAGGCACCAAATGGTAATACATCTTTGAACGTGCGTTTTTGTTTAATTGAACGCCGTGGGATGTTATGATAAACTCAACATATTGAACTTTGGTATGATATAGTACGCCGACTCGCTTACGCTTAACCTTATGTTACCTAATGTACCACTGGGAAGAATACAACACCTTTTATCTCGCAGCGCGCAACAGGTGCACAAGGTTCCGTATCACCTTAGTGGGTGCTCGACGATAACGTTCAGGATTCGCCAAACGTACGCCTCTGGTCTACGGCACGTGAAGATGTATAACAAATTAAGTGCAGAACAGAAACACTCCCACTATACAGTTTACAAGGACACGCCTTCGGTCTTTTCTTCGACGACAATTGTATTTACAGTAGCAAGTGAGGAAACACGATATTCGCGCAGTCCTGCTCTTCTTTCGTCTCTGCAAACAAACACAGCGTATCCCTTGGCGTCCTCACCCTGGACAACGCCGTATACAATTGGCCGCGAGCAAACGGATCGGTCCGCAGGTCAAGTACTGTGCGTGCCAGCCAGTCCCTTTTCCACCGAGATGTTTCGTTGAACAGCGCAAAGCTCCAAGGTGAGTCAATATCGCGAGATAATGCGTGTTCTCTGGTCCGTCCAATGCAGCGTGTTCTGCTTCTTTTAAGCTGTCCGAACTAAAATAAGACTCTGCGGATTCTCGTCAGTCGTATCATTCACGATGGATGTAAATTAGCGATGCTCACGAAATTCGCCCGGCAATTTCTCCAAAATTCTGTCGTTGAAATCATCGATATAGATATTGAGAGGGGAGAAGAACGTGCGCTGCAGACATCACCGAATGTGAACACATTGACACGAATGTCTCCAAGTTCTGGAGTAGCAATGGATCCGTCGTATCCCCAAAAGTTCTTTCTGTCAATCTGATACCGACTTGCATTTTGAAGACCAACAACCCCGCGGACGTTGCCATAGTAGTGAATGAAAGAAGAGCAAATGTGAAACAGCACTATCAACACGTAGCGACACAGCATGACGTGGTGGACACAATTGCGCCCGAGCCGGCGGTATCTCGTCTACAAATATTGTAGATGTAATCGGACATCGACGCAAAACAAGATATGATCGGAATACGCAACCCAACATCTACAGCCCACAAGCCTCGAGACGACTCCGGAAAATCTTCTGGAACTGTGGGACATGCTCCAAGTCCATCAGCGTGTGATGTTCCCCAGGCACATCAGTATATGATGCCTCGCCACGGCTAAAGCCGGACCATGGCTTGAGCTGGTTGTTAAGCCAGTCAATCTTGGTTCCGGAAAAGGGAATGGCATAGAAAACTTCGAGTGCAGCTGAGGGGTTGGCATATGAGCAAGCGCTTCTAAAGTGACAAAGTGAACAGACATACAGACTGAGCCTGATGGGCTGTAATCTACTCCGCAATCAATGATAGACCCGGAGAGGTCCGCCCATTTATGCAGCTTCTCGAGCGTCAGCTGGAGCTTGACAATTCGTTCAGGAGGTGACATATTCAACACAGACTGGAGCTGCTCCTGCCTCGTGAGCGGTCTCAGTGGAGGAGCCAAATTTTCAGCATCATGTTTCGACACGAGACCAAGGAAGGACGACAAGTGAAGCATGCCTAAGGTCCAATCAATCTCTCTCATGCGATAATCGATATGAGGGGGGATGTTGACGAGACCCACGAACTTGACTTCATCACCCATTGCCTCAAGACGCTTTGCAACTTCAAATGCAACAACGCCGCCGTAACTGTAGCCTGCGATGGCATATGGCCCCGTCACCTGAGTCTTCTTGATTGCTGTGGTATAACAGGAAACCATCTCATTCATGGAGGTCCAGTAAGGGTGGCCGGGATCGAAGCCACGAGCACGGAAAGCATAGAAGGGACGCTCATTAAGGAAGTATTTGGCGAGATTGACGTAAATAAGCACCTCGCCGATACCGGGGTGAACGAAGAAAATGGGCGTCTTGCTTCCACTGAGTTGGAGGGGAACGATGGGATCGTACTCCTCAGTCTGGGTGCCCTTGGAAAGTAAGGAATCGATGTAGTTCGCCAGGCTCGAGAGAACAGGGTGCTTGAGGATTTTGATGGCAGAGATCTCAGGCAGGTTGAAATATTCCTCTCCTTCGCGCTTGAGCCTGGAGATTATGTGTCAGTAACGGTCGTTTGAAGGCGGAAACAGGTATATTCACCGGATAGTATCAATGGAAGTACCACCGATCTCGAAGAAGTTGTCGCTCGCTGACACTTCGTCAACTGCCAGGTTAAATATGCCAGCGTATATCTTGGCAAGCGCCTTCTCCGTCTCCGTGGACGGCACGACGAACGTAGCGCCACGTGCCTCGCTCAGAAGCTCCTCCGAGCGAGAGATGTGCTTCGCGAGCTGGCCTTGCTTGAACAGACTGATCAAGTACGCACGAGACAGTTTACCGAGAGTGGTCTTCTCCATTTGGTTCACAGGGATGGGAACGACGAACTGAGGCGGCAGCGTAATCATTTTCACGCAGATATCCCGAAGGGCCCGGTGAGTAGCACAAAGCTTTGCGGAAGCGTCTGCTCCATCGAGATCAAAGGTTGGCGAGTAGAAAATGATGAACCCTTCAGTCTCCTGACTAGGAGCACGGTACGGAGCTACACTTAGGAACGAGTGAGTCACTCCTTCTACGGTCTGGAGGTGGGTCTCGAGCTCAGGGATGCCGTGCGAGACACCATGGACGATGACGGTGTCCTTGATACGACCGCTGAGGCGCATGATCCCATTCTCGATGATGCCGACGTCGCCGGTGCGGTACCAGCCCCCATCGACGAAGCTGGAGGACGTAGCCTCTGCGTTGTTGTAGTAGCGTACAAATACCATCGGTCCGCGAACCTGGAGCTCGCCGCTCTTTCCGTCAGGGCGCAGGGTCGAGCCATCTGCGGGGTCAACGATGCGCATCTCGCAACCATCGATGGGTCTCCCGAGATCAAGGAACTCACGAGCAGTCTCGGTTGCGAGCACATCCGTGAGATGGTAAATGCATCCGGCACTGCAGCATCCTCATCAATTTGTCTAGATACCCGTATGGTTTAATTAGTCTTACCATGTTTCTGTCATTCCAAACCCAGGAGAGAGCATGAACGATACAGTGGAGGGGTTCTTGCTAAGCTGCTTCATGGTAGCAACAAACGCTTGTGCGGTCTTTAGAACAACAGCTTCACCTCCACTGATGACCCGCTTGATGGAGGATAAGTCGAAGCATCCGAAGAGCTCGGTGCGCTTTTCCAGATCACGAGTGAGCTTGGAGAGCAGGAAATTCGGGGCAAAAGTGATTTCGATTGACTATAAACAGAATGATAAGAGACACATCAAGCTATGGTCGAATTTTGGCGTGCCTTTTCGTCGATCAGACGGAGTAGCCGAAGGGGGTCAGCAAGGATAGCAGATGCGTGCACATGGAGTTGCGAGGCGCCATGTAGTAGAGGCGTGATGTGCATTTCCAATGTTCCTCCGACGTGATCAAATCCGACCCCTGAAAGTCATGATCAATTTAAGAATAAAGTTAAGCAACGTGTGTCTTACAGTTCAAATATCGAGATTTGGATGTCAGGCCGAGGCTTCGGCCCTTCGCACGGCATGCAGCAATAATTGTGCGGTGCGTGTGCACGACCGCCTTCGAGAATCCAGTCGACCCTGAGGTCAAGAACAGGATCGCCTCGTCGTCTGCCTTAGCGTCATATGCAACCCAGTCAGCTGAGACGTTGAATGTCTCCGCCGACGCCTTTAATTCGGAGAGTAGGTGGACCTCCAGACTAGAAATCGTGCTGATATGCTCGGCCCCAAGCTCGTCGGTCAACCAAATAGCAGACCCAAACAAATTCTTGATGTGGGCGACATGGCCCTCCTTGTGGGCCTGGTGCGCGCTAAGTGCAGGCTGGAAGAAGGGCACATAGCCGGCCAACAAACACGCCCATACAACTGCCATATTGTCTTCGTGCTCCGTCAGGTACACGACGACGACTGAACGTGTGGGTTTGCCCCACTCTAGCATGGCACGTGCAAGATTGCGAACATAATGGTTGAACACTCTGAAGGTCTTCGTCTGAATGGAGGAGTCATGTGCTGAGGAAGTTATGAAACCAAGCTCGTGAGACGGATAACGGTCAACAGCTTGAGTGATGACGTCGTGGAGAGTATTAGGTTGTGGAGAGGTAACAAAGGACTTGAAGGTGGTGGGGGAGGCTGCGACGGGTGCCATTGCAAGGTAAATTCTAAAGCAGTAATACTCTAGGACGTTGAGCACTCACTAGCTTTCTTATATATGCACGGGTGCTAACATATGCCTTGCTTGTACGCAAATGCTCAATTGTGTATCGGAAGGGTCTGGAATTCGCGCGATACTCAGGAAAGCCCATGTGCATAGTACAGTGTCGGGTGTAAAGACGATCCTCAAGTTATGTAATGATCGTTTTCGAATTGTTGGTGCCAGCTCGGGTGTGAGTATCTGGAAACGCCGCATCATCTATTTGCCCAGTGTCGTCGTTTCGCGGAAACGTGCATCAAGTCGTCGCAGGAAGTGGTAGATACAACTTCCATGCTTCTTTGTGAAGCAAAAACCACTGTTCGAACAACGGATGTTTATCTACACTCCGCACGGCGCTTGTTCGTTGACGATGCTTCGGTGTGGCCTTGGCGCGAAACTCGCTATTACTTAGGAACTGTAACTGCGATTCAACCACCAGATCAAATAACCACTGTGTTGGCGACAAAAATAGCGTACGTATGGCACGTTGCAAGTATTCGTTTGGCAGGGCAAATCTGGGGGATCTACAAGCGTACTACGAATTCAATGGTCGGAAAGGCTGAACGTGTGCTAGACATTTGCGGCATTTACCTGTAAGTCACATTCATAGTGGCTATGTATTTCCAAGAGCTGACGAGGCACTTCTATATGTAGTACCTGTAGCGTAGTCAGCCAATAAAAGATCGTTTATCGTTTAATCATCTGAATCAAGTATCCCGGATTAGGCCTACCACCAACCACACCGTACTTACCGTGGTACTAACTCTCTGAGAGCGGGCACTGGTACCTGGCCACCGTAAACCATGCAGCCTTATTCCTATCAGTGTTGTGGGCAGAAATTATGTCAGCTGGTTTGGCAGAACTAGTTCTGCCCGCAGCATGGCAGAATTTTATAGGCAGAATCCGGCAGAATCATTATCAAACTACTCCAGCCTGGGGTTCACCGTGACAGCGAAAGATGCCCCACCCTCTTATGAACTGTTGCTCACGCCGCTGACGTTGAATGCCTTTTTTTGGATGTGGGCAACACTCAGTCTGCAACCTCTTGGCATCGGACACGCTTGGACCAATCACTGGCAAAAATTCGAGCAAATCTTCGTTGCCAATAGTAGGTCGTTGCCAAGGGAAAGCCAATTCGTAGACACCCGAATGTGCACATGCACGCCTTGCATCGAAATCTGTTGGCGAGATAATGGTAGTTGATAACACCTCACACGACGGACACAATTCTGCTGGTTGTGCCAGCACGATTCCTCATCAAAAATTCTGCCACCAGCCAGCACTACTATCCCGACAACGGAAGTCTGAAAGTGCAAACAAGGTTATATCTATGCTAGAAGACAGCACCACTTCTGCGTTTGAGGAAGGATGTGAGATGAATCCGTCCAAATTTCCTCGGTATCGCGACCATAGGGAGTTAAGACTTGTTCTCCTGTAAGCCAACAATGTGCTTCTTTCATCTTTGGGAAATTCATCACTCTACCAAATAGGCCAAGACCGTGACGGAAGCCCATCTGTCATCAATCTGTGATGCTAGCGTTAACTTCACGATAGTATTCCGGAATTCAAACGTGACTTGTTCAACTTTTTTGAAACTTTTTCACCCCAAGTTGTTCACATATCCGTAACGTCTTAATATGATCGACTATCTGATGTTTGACTTACTGACATTCCATGATGTGGCGCAAGTACACAGGTCCTCAGTCCATGGACAAGAAGGCCGTTCTTGTGCCTGAGCCACTTACCTACACAACTCATTCTCGGAACTAGATCCAGCCAGCCAAATGTTCTCCTGGCAGGCGACGACCCTAAGGGCCTGCGAAGCAGTATACAGCCTTCTTCTTCCCCATCCTCCGACTCGCAAACATGAGCATCATGCGAGTGCATTCATGAGTTGGATTCAACTCATCATAATACCTGTCTTGAGGTCGAGTTGAAGCTTTTGTCCACCCGCGTGCTAGTGCGCAGAGTCCATGATTCGTCGGCTACACCTGGTGAGTACGTCCTGCATATGAAGAGCTATTGCTCTAACATTGCTAAATATGACTATCCACAATTATTCTGTTCATGGCACAGCCCTGCCCCATTTGTTTGTGTTACCCGGTACCCCCATAACTTGGACGTTGTTTACGGGCACTGTCCTGCAGAAAAATTTGTCATCAGAGCTGCTAAACCATCTGGACTCTCGCGAGTTACAATATTTTCCATTCAAAAGGGACTGGGTTTTTTATGCACTTGCAAAGCACTTGTGTTATCAGCATTAACGTGAGCAAGCATGTCACCGTGCACTGGAGATGCACCAGAGGTATTTTTTGTGGTAAAAATGATTACCGCTCAGTGCAAAATAAAATCTAACTACCAGCAGCCCTGAAACAAATGTCTTACCAGTCAGTCATATCATCACCAGCCTGTTGATTGCATGTACTCTGTAGGAGCCAGTGTGTTATGAACTAGGATAGTTCTTAACAACGACAACTCGACAGAGTTACGCTCGTTGAGATTTGCAGTCTCTCAGAAAAGAGAGAGTTCTTATAGGCTTAGTCAAAGGAGTGCTTCAACTAAGAATCAAGTATCAGATGACCTAAGTTTGGGGGATGTCATATCCCGTATTCCGGACCTTCGGATGCCCTATCCATGTCTCGAGTCCTCTACCCATCCGGATCCCTGCACATCCGCACATCCACATCCAGATCCCTTTACCTCCATACATCAGACCTCCATACCTCCGCAGCTAGCCTGCATCATTCATCCTTTGTCCTATCGCCCTAATGTCATATCCCGCATTCCGGACCAACATCTGACGATGTTCCCACGCCTCATCCGGACCTCCGGACCTCCTGTCCATGTCTCCAGACCCAATCCTCTATCCATCCGGATCCCTGTACTCCTGCATCCGATATCCACATCTCCGGATCTCCAGATCCGACCTATGCTTCATATCCGAACCCAAACCTTAAATCAGCGCTCATCCCCTTATGGTAATCACCTGTCTCCGGACATCCGGACATCCGGATCCGACCCGTGTCTATCTTCTGTGCCTTATCCCTTTGTATGTTCCTTCTTGAGTTAGACTTCCTCATTTTCCATACCTCATTTCATTTCCAGCTTTATTTTCCTATGTCTTCATCTCCGTCTTCATTTACTATTTTCCGATAGACTAGTGTTTGACTTTTCTACATCCTCCATCCACAGCCTTGCATAGCTTCGGACTGCGCTGACTGACTCTCCGTTAAGTCCTCTGTAGTATATAAACTCTGTAGAAACTTTGTACTTCCTCAGTCTGAATATCATACACATATTAGTCCTCGCACTAGCCTTCACACTAAGTCCTCGTAACAGTTCTAGTCCTCCGACTTAGTCATTATCCATCTCAGGCCTAGGGAGGAATTCCCTAGGCCGGAGCTCTGCTCCTCTGCTCCTCTGCTCCTCTGCTCCTCTGCTCCTCTGCTCCTCTGCTCCTCTGCTCCTCTGCTCCTCTGCTCCTCTGCTCCTCTGCTCCTCTGCTCCTCCGATCCTCCGATCCACCATTCCTCCAAGTTTCCGGAAGTTCCTCCAGAACTTTCCTGCGGTCCTCCGGACCTATTCTGCTTTGGACTTTGTCCTTGCAGCCTTTCCTCTGTTTGCTTCTACTCAGGACAAGTCCTGAGTAGCCATTATACATATCCCCGTCAGGACGAAACTCCATTGTAATTTCCGGAAGTTCCTCCGGAAGTTTCCCACATTCATCTGGAAGTTTCTCGCACTCATCTGGAAAGTCCTTCCGAAGTTTCCCACGCTCCTCCGGAAGTCCTTCGGACTTCACTGGACTTTCTCCGGACTTCATTCTGAAGTTAAGGGCACATACTCGGGTAAGGGGCGCAGCGCACGAGCTGAAGCCAAGCCCCTTGGAATCAGTCCTACCCTTTGTGCATGGTCTTAACAGGGGACTTAGGCGAGAGATGTTTCAGGTAAAACCTAGTAAGATTCAAGTGAGGAATATAGTGATAATACATGTGCTTAAATAGGCCAATATGTGCGCACAGACCAAGACAATCGTGAGAAGTATTCATAGTACAAAAGAGGAAGGCATAAGATGACGGAAACGAATAGACCGAAGTATGATTGTAACATTACCCCCTTACTAAGCGTAAAGTCACCGACTTTACTCATCTTGATTTGCCCAGTAGATAGGGTCGTCAGAATAGTCCAATTGATCTTCCTCACCCCCACCTCTAAGTCGCTCCTCTTGATAAAGAGCTTCTTCTTTGGCGCATTGAAGGATGTAGGCTTCATCTCGTGCCTTTTCCCAAGCCTTTAATTCTTGATAAAATCCTTCATCCTTCCAGGTAAGCGTGGTAGGAGATGAGCTGGTAAAGTGGGGGCAGTAAAAAGAAAGATGTCCTGGGGAGAGTTCCCGGCATACTCGACAGTAGTAGTCAGGGCAGTGCGCATGACGATGACCTAAGGATTTACAATAGCAGCATATCCTATTCTCATCAGGGTTAGATGAAGAGGGACAGATTACTGATGGTGCTGGTGTGGAGCTGAAAGCTTCATCGTCACTAGTAGCTTTCCTCTTTCCTTTTCTGTGGTAAGGCATCCTACGAGTTTTCCTTTTATGAGTGGTATGTGCTTTAATCTGGTCTACCTCCTTTTTAGTAATCTATGCGTTGCTTATAGCTTTCAAGGTAACGACCAAGCAATCAGATCTATTGTCTGCCCAATATGTCTGATCTGTACAAATAGTAACGATGGAGTCTTTGTAGCTATTTGGGCTCAAACCCAAAGGGTTTGCGACCCGAAACACTGTTTCAAACCTGTGGAGAGTCCAGGATGAGCCGTGATTCCCAAACTGAAGGAGCCTGGCGACGCATTAGGTGCAGCGTGGACTCCCACTTCAAAGGAGAAGGGCAACACAATGACATACCTTGTCAATGCACTGGGGGCATAGTATATCTTGTGAAGGGTTCTAGAGC